TCAGGGGATCTCGTAGTCGAGCAGTCTCGACTAGAGCTTTCTTTCTTGTTTCCTTTCTATTGTGTATTCAGTAATGGTCTGAAAGCTCCCTCTAGGAACAAAGGTGGGAAAGTCTTCCTCGTTAAGATACCAGCTATCGATCGTATAGTTGAAGCCCTATATAGAAAATACATTGAAAATATTATTAATAATTTTTGGATGTTCATAGCTACTCACCGCATTAAATGGACATCTCAATTTGCCATTCATATGTTCCTTAAAGGTCCTAAGTAGTGTGTTCATGAACTGGTTCTTCTGTATTTTCGAGAGCAACGTACAAGTGTCCGCACGCAAGTTATACAAGCGCACCTTTGTGTTATCCGTTTTCCAAAAATCCATTTTCGAGGTCACATCAATTTTGCTGGTATTAGCTTTTAGTATGAGATTTGCACTGATATAACTGCGATTATTCAGTTGAACCATCCAACAATTCAGCTCTTGGACAAGTTCCGGTGCATACTGTTTGCAGTTGACCGAGTCGAATATGATTTGGAACTTGCATTTCTCTGTGGACACAGCGCCAATCAGGAGAAGCAAGCAGAGACAACCAAACATGACGGAATCGCAGCTCAATTGACAATGAGTTTTGGCCATAGTGAATGTGGATGGAAATGAACTAGCTTAAAATTATTTAATTGCTGTGATATTCATCACTATGGTAGTCTTTATGCTAAATACAAGCTATTTAGGCATTAAATATGGTTGTTTATTTAACTCTATGTTTATCTTGTATACCTTTGTTTTTGATATATGATTATTTAATTGTTTAGGATTACGGGAAATTACTTAATTCTTTAAAGTCTCAAATTGAGCGAATCTAATGGCAGCCGCAGTAAGTCGATTGTGTGTTGATATAAATAAATAAATGATATGAACGATAAAATTTTCCCGATCCGCCCGCTAGGGACGTGGCAAAGTAGAAAATGCATTTTCACATATATGGCGGAATTTAAAATGAAGCTATGGCGGATATATCTACGCCTAATTGGGGGTGTAGCGGTAAATTTCTATCTCCTAGAGGATTAAAGCTAGAACGCAAAACTTTTGCAAATGAGCTAATGTTACGATTCTTGAATATCGATGAAAAAACTATATTTCCACACGCACTAGTTCGGAGTAAACTATATCACACAGGAATGAATTGCTTATTATTTTAGTGGTTTATGATTTATTGACGTGATTGTCTTAGATCTACACGATATATTTTCGCAAAAAAGAGGACAGAAAGAAATTTTCGGCGCTTTATGAAGGCGTCAATAGGAGCTCTAATGTCACAGTCGGGTATGAAAGCAGGTATTAGGTTTTCATCAAAATTCCATTCAGACCAGGTATAGTTAAAGTTCTAATAAGCAATGCGAATATATATTTATAAATGAATATAAGTTCAATATAAACATTAATATTTGGACAACACTTACCGCTTGCAACGGACATACTAGATTGGTGGCAGAGTGCTTTTGTAAAATTTTCTGGAATACGCTAATGACCGGACTCTTGTATCCACCTCTCATTTACACCCATCCAAAGTGACTTTTATTAGTTGCATGGTTTTATTATCCTTTCTCCTCATATTTACCGACGATTTGATTTCAAAACTGTTTACAACGCGTTTAAGGCTCCCGAACGCGTTTAAGTAGCTTCGATTATTGTGGTCATAAATGCGGATCTGTGCTTCATTGACTATATCTGGCGCGACGATATTGGTGTCAATTTTTGTGAATTTTAAATAAGTCACACCATTTACACTTTGAGACGTCAAGATCAACAGCAGATAGATAGATTTATAACCAGCCATGGTCAATGCTTGATTCCGAATGGCATCGCATCGTGCTTACACTCTATATGGGGCTAAATCATTTTCAATATATGTTTATATACAACGATAATTTCAAATCAGATATATTTTAGGTTTTTATACCCTGAACCCATTGAAAATGGGAAATCAGGGTATAATGGTT